TCTACCCCCTCCCGATGCCCCAGCCCGCCGGCGCCACCCGGCGCCACACCACCCTCTCCCGAGGCCACCCCCAGAGGAGCAAACAGCGCAAGTCGGCTAAATTGAACGATGTATTGCCCTGTCGGTGGGGTGGTCTCTCATCATACAGATAAGCGACGGGACATGTTTTCGTTTTTGCCCGCCCGCCCCGGCCCGCCTTACCCCGCCCCGCCTCTCTATCGACGTGCGCGCGTCCCGCGGAGGAGGCGAGGAGGCACGCGCCCCGCCGCCCGCCGTCATGTAGCAGGTTGACCGGACACGGGGGGAGAGGGGGAGGGGATGGTCGGGATAGGACAAAGTAAACAACGGCCCGCGCCTCCTTCGCCCCGTCGGCTCTCGTCGTGGGTGATGGTGGCGCGCGTGGAGTGGCTATCGGCGGCGAGGTGCGGCGGCTCGCTCCGGCGCTGGTAACGCTCGCGCTCGCGCTCACGTTCTCCAGGCGGCGCATGCCGTGCGCGATGTGCTCGGCTGCGGCCCGCCGCGCTGCCCTGCCCTGCCCAGCCAGCCGGTGTGCCCCGGCTCGGCTCGGCTCTGTTCGGTTCGGCTCGACTTGCCAGTGACCCACTTTCTCTGGGAAACATTCCCGAAACGCTTGACGGAAGCGAACGGAATGGAACGGCGGTGCAAGGCTCGTCTTGTGGTGGCCTCCGGCCCCGGCCTCCCGTGCATTCAGTCCCCGGGCCCCTCTGCACCCGCCCCCGGCTCCCGGCCCCCGTGCGCCCCGCCCCACCCCCGGCCCCACCCCCGGCCCGTGGTCCTAGGGCCGCCTCCGGCCCGGACTTTATTGGGGCGTCAGGGCGACGGCGGGGCGACGAGGGTACAACATTTCGCCTGACCCTTTCTCTCCCTCCAACCCTCTCTCTCTCTCTCTCTTTCCCGTTTGCTCCAGACCAGCCAGTCTGACGCGCACTCCCCCCTCCCCCTCCCTGCTCCGACTCCCACGCAACTCCTGCGACCCCTATGACCCTAGCCCTCGGGAACGGTAGTGCCCCCCCCCCCCTCTTTCTCTCTTATTCCCCCGGAGACGCACCACTGCCGGCCTCAGCCTCACGTCGCCCCACCCTGCCAGCGCCAGCTTCTCTTCTTGGAGTTCAGTTACTCTTTCTGGGGCGTGTGTCCACGGCACCCCTGGGGGCGCCGCCCCCGCCGCCCCCCGCCCCCACCTGCAGCCCGCGGCGCCTCGCCTCCCTCTCTCAGCGCCACGCCCACACCGCGCTACTCCAACTTTCTTGGGTATTGGACCCAGAAGAGTAATCTCGGGGCGACGTGCATGGCGTGGCAGAGTACGGCGCGGTGGAAAAAAAAAAAAAGAACGCCCGAGAAAATGAGGGACGAGGTGTTTGGTCGGCCCCTTATACGCGTTCACTGGAAAGGGGGGAGATAGCGGGGGATCGACGATAGCATAATGGTGGTGAAGGACGTCTATCGATGAATCTGATGAATGGACCATGAGCGGGATCCCCAGGCAGAGGGTGCAGGGTGTAACGTCAGCGCCACGCCACGCTCAGCCCAGCTCAACCACGCATCCCGACGGTCTGCCACGCACCGCCACACTCCATCAAGGCCAAGCTGCTGTGCTGTATCGCTCCCGACTTGAATCCTGACCTTGGCCGCACGCCTTGACCGATCCGCGGTACCCTGGGTCGCGAGGCAAAGCGGCGGCGCCTCGCCACGCTACGCAGTGCCACGCAGCTCCACGCAGCGCCACGCCGAACCAGGGCCGAGGACGTGCTGACCCGTTGTCCTTCCACATATGTGGCCGACGGATAGCTCCTTGTCCAGGGACTGGTCGGGGGAATCACAGCAGGCACAACTATTTAAAGTGTATTGATTTTTAAGGAGACATGTCTTCCATTATTTATCCATTAAGGGCTGATAGATTAGGTTGGTGATTGAGGGAGATATTAGATAATTTTCCATGACTACCATATTAATAAAGATTTGCACCTCTTTATGTTTCAGTTCCCAGACCATGGATTGACAAGGCTTCCGGATCGCCTGCTTCTATTCCGCCATGACTATTCATCAGTAAACATTTTGCAGCTTGTAAATTCTACTGTGGATATTGTAGATGAAACTTTAGTTGAAATTGTGATGACATGTAAGTGTTGTTTTAATTTTCTATCCCCCATTTCAAGTTGAAAATAACTCTTTATTAGTCTTCTGACAATCTACATTACATGTTTCAGCCACTTTACCACCATCTGTCCCAGAAATAACTGGTGATGATGTCCCTCTCAGACCACATGCCTTAGTGGTTCATTCTTATAAGGTCCCAACATTTTGTGACTTTTGTGCTGAGATGTTGTTTGGTTTGGTTAGACAAGGCCTGAAATGTGAAGGTAGGAAATTATTACTCTGAAAATTTTATCTTATATCTTCTCATAATTCATATTTTAAAACCCTTTTTACTGTGTTTTATGACTTCAGGTTGTGGACAAAACTATCACAAAAGATGTATAATAAAAATTCCAAACAACTGCTCATATGCAATTCTTGACATGGGGGAGCAAAGGCGACGTAGATCCTCAACCCTCCAGGTTCCTCGCAGCCCTTCAGAGACCGGATCTAATTCTTCTTTGACATCAGTATCTGATGAATCCAGTGGAATGGTAAATGTAAATGGTGCTATCTTTATACTATTAGCTGTTAAACAAAACAAAAAAAATACTCATCGAAGTACTTTATCATTTCAGCAAAGTCTCATGCAACAACTTGGAGCTGTTACTCTTTCTGTGCCAAAACAAAGTCGATCTCCGTCTCTTGGTGGAAGACCTCCTTGGGTGGAAAAAGAAATGGCTGCTAGGTGTCCTATCCCTCACACTCTTCTGGTTCATAGCTATATTCGCCCAACACTGTGTCAGATCTGCAAGAAGCTTCTGAAAGGATTATTCAAACAAGGACTTCAGTGTAAAGACTGCCATTATAATGTTCACAAGAAATGTGTTGAAAAAGTGCCCAAAGATTGTCCTGGTGAAAGCATAAGAGAAGGAGGTAATCTTTTATTGTATAAAATGAATTTTGATTAACAACTTTATTTAAATCACTTTTAAAATCTTTTTGTGTTTTTTGTTTATGAAGGAGAATATCCAGACAGTGGGATGGGGAGTGAACCTGATCGTGAAAACAGCAGAGATGGGGCTGAAGAAGATAGTGACGGAGAAAATGATGATACTGTTTCACCCAATAACACAAGGAAGAGTTCTACTGTGGAGTCACCAACCAATGGATGTTATGTTGTATGTAATTTAGTTTTTCTTTAATACAAAACATATGTAATTATTCTAAAAGTCTATGGAAAAATAATAGCTGTATGGGTTTAAAATAATTTGTAGGACCACATTACTGGACCTGATGATGATGGAGATGTCCAACGTCCAAGGCCTGCTACGTAAGTTGTATGTCGTTATCTAGTAACAAGTACAAAAACTCAGACTACAGCACTTTCTGATATTTTTTGCCAGATCATCACCCAGCAATAACATTCCACTCATGAGAATTGTACAATCAGTCAAACATACAAAACGTCGAGGGTCTAAAGTCATCAAGGAAGGATGGATGGTCCATTTCACTAACAAAGATCGCATGGTAAAGAATTAGCAGTTTATTCTTCTTGTATGATTTTGGCGCTCTTTTATGTGACCTTTTATGTTTTTTCCTGTGATATCACATTTTTTTTTATTTTATGTACCTCAGCGAAAAAGGCATTATTGGAGACTGGACAGTAAGGCCATCACTTTGTTCCAAAGTGACACAGGAGCTAAGTATTACAGAGAAATATCCCTAGCAGAAATTCTCTCTGTGGAACCCGCAAAATGCATACAAGGGGGTATGTATATACTTGGCTTTTGCAATGATAAAACAGTTAGAAACAATTAGAAACAGTCCTAGTTCACAATTTGTTGATGCTTTCTGTCTTTCAGATGCTATGCATTGCTTTGAGCTACATACTTCAACCATCTCTTATTATGTTGGAGAAGATACTATGTACACTCAGGGTATGAGAGATATGCCTGCTGTTGAAAGTGGTGTTGGAGCTCATCTTGCCAAAAGCTGGGAAACAAGCATACGCCAGGCCTTGATGCCAGTTTTATCAAACACATCAAGTAAGAATAAAATATTATTCTTAAGATAATTAATCATATTTAGTATAGCTTGCAGTATGTAAGGGGTGTGATTTTATTTTACAGAAGCAGAGAGCTCTTCAGGAGAGGCTCAACAGCTTGAAGAAAGACCAACTGATATTAGCCAACTCTATCAAATTTTCCCTGATGAAGTACTTGGATCTGGCCAATTTGGAACAGTTTATGGAGGTAACATCATAAATGTAGCTCCAGTCTCGTAAGACCCTGTTTTTGTATTCTCAACTAGCAAAAACATTTGTTTTCCATTTATCTAGGAGTACATAGGAAATCTGGGCGCTCAGTTGCTATTAAAGTTATTGATAAACTGCGCTTTCCCACAAAACAAGAAGCCCAACTGAAAAACGAAGTATCAATCCTTCAGAACCTTTCTCATGCCAGTGTTGTCAATTTGGAGGGAATGTTTGAGACACCTGAGCGCATTTTTGTTGTAATGGAGAAACTTAGAGGAGATATGCTTGAAATGATTTTATCAAGTGAAAAAGGTCGCCTAAGTGAAAGAATAACAAAATTCTTAATAACACAGGTAAAACATTCTCCTGACTATTGACATGACCAACTCTATTTTTATCACTGAGGCTAAATTAGATATTTTTCTCTGTAGATTCTTGTTGCACTGAAGTATCTCCACAGTAAGAACATTGTGCATTGTGACTTAAAGCCAGAAAATGTCTTGCTAAGCTCGGATGGAGATTTCCCCCAAGTCAAATTATGTGACTTTGGTTTTGCTAGAATTATCGGGGAGAAGTCTTTTAGAAGATCTGTAGTAGGAACTCCTGCGTATCTTGGTAAGCACAAACAAACTAATGTTTATTCACTTTTAGCTCTTAAAAGCCAATCAGACAATAATTATTTTATTTCTATTCAGCTCCAGAAGTGCTGAGAAATAAAGGTTACAACCGCTCTTTGGACATGTGGAGTGTGGGTGTTATTGTGTATGTCAGTTTAAGCGGAACTTTTCCATTTAATGAGGATGAGGACATCAATGATCAAATACAAAATGCAGCATTTATGTATCCGCCAAAGCCATGGAAAGAAATTTCTTCAGATGGTAATTTATTTGTTATCTTCAATGTTTATTCATCTTGTGATATATTCAAAATCTTACCTTCTCATTTTAAAAATTTCAGCTATTGATCTAATCAACAATTTGCTACAAGTAAAACAACGCAAACGTTACACAGTAGACAAATCACTGGTCCACACATGGCTACAGGCATGTCATAAAACACTTTAATAATACCCTTTGATGAAATTTATTTTAGCAATTTTACTGAAATTAATATCTTTCAACAGGATTATCAAACTTGGTGTGATTTAAGAGATCTTGAAGCCCAAGTGGGATATCGGTATCTCACTCACGAGTCCGATGATGCCCGCTGGGATGCGCTGCGGGTGGAACGTGAGAGAGAAAGAGATAGGCTCTGACTGTGGTCACAAGCACTCCCATCAACTCGACCTCCTCCCCTGAAGCCGGTCGGGTGTTTGGCAGTGCTCCGCAAGCCATGGAAATGGCGTCGTCGATCACCTGTTGTATTTGCAATGCAGGCTGAGACACCGTTGTGCAGTGGAAAACACACCCGTGCATTGAGGCATGGTTTTGAACTGGAGAAGGGTTTACCAAGTTATATGGTGAAGGAAAATCCCTTACAATCTCCGTCTATAGTTTGTGGTCTGCACACAGCTGCAATGTCCACTGATCCAACTTGTCAAAATTTAATGAGGCCAAATATTTTGTCTGTTAATGAAAAGACTCAAAGCAGGAAGAAGTATGTTAACAGTTTACATTACTCCCAAATTTCAGGGCTTACTCCTACATCACCTTTTGATATTAATGAATCGCATTGACAGTGTCTCACAGGAACGTTTTGATACCCCTGTTTCATTATTGCAGATGCAACATTTTGTAGTTTTATTAATGTGTAGACTGATTTTAATTGAATGGCATGTTTATGAGCATTTTTGATGAAATTTAAATTCTTTATGTTTCACAACTGACACAATCCACATTGTTTAGGATTGTGATATATTGCTACTGAAGTTTTTAAGTTAATGTAAGTATCTGTGATAATGTATGCTGATACTTCATGAAGTAATTAATTTTGAAATGCTTTGAAAACTTTAGTAACTTTTTGAAAGTCAAATTATTATGGATTTGTACTACTCCTATAGGTAAGCCCACATTCTCCACTCGAGTGAAGGTTGATTTATTCTATTGAAGCCTATGCTGAAACAAGCTGAAGCTGAATACCTAGCTCTGTCAAGAGCCTAAATCCACCTAAACACACTCTTAAATGCAAAGTGATTCCACTCCTATATTTGTTTTGGTATTTCTTAATCGATTTGGGTTATTTCCAGTTACTTCAGTTATCTTGATAATTTCAAAACCAACACACCTCTACTTCTTTACAAATTAGCACACAGCTTTTCGTTTTAATTGTTGTAAAACATAAAGAAGGAACCCTAATTGAGTAGCTGATATTATGTTTGATTGACAAAACTCCATTGCTTGGACTAAGCTATTTGTTGTGCAGATCTGTACAAACTAATTTATTTAATGTGTGGAATGTTTCAGCCTTGCCAAGTTTTTGAATGCCCATTCCAGAAGAGCAACATTTTGCATGACACTAAACCTCTGTGATTGTATTTAGGGAATCCTGTTTAAGTTGTATTTTTGCTTAGTACTTTGGTAAAGAGAAGATAAAAGATGCTGTTGTATCAATTTTAATTTTGCCTGCTTTTAGAAAAAAAACACAATGTTGATAAAATGTGATTTTTCTTTAAATTTGAGACAAACGATCTTCAGCTCATACTATTTTGTGCACCACATGTCCAAACGTGAATCAGTACTTACTACATATATTTACACCATGCACTGGAGCCAGAGTATTCCCCTTCGTTCATGATGTGTAGCTTATGTTAGAAATGGTAGACCATGTCCATCCAAGCCCCCTTTTGTATATTTCAAACTGTGACAGAAATTCTTGTTACTGGAGGGAATATTCACTCATGCACTAGGTGGGACCAATATATGAAACTTGTGCAAACAATTTCCCATCATACTGATAAGATCTGAAAGATTTTTGACAACATACTATTGTATAGCATGCTTTTCTCAAAGGTTTGTTACGTTCTGAAGTAGTACGCATGTTTTTTTTAAAAGCCATATGTAGTCTAAAATTTAGGAACAACAGAAATTATTCCCCCATCATGTATGGAATTTAGTAATTATGTGACTGTGCATTATGAACTTTGTGAAGAGTTTTGTTTCCAAATGGTTTTATTTATTTTTTTGTTAAATAAGTTAAATATTTATTTTGTGAATTGTGTCTCATTTAACTGTTCAAACAGTTTGAGTATTAATTTGAAGTATGTACTGACAAAGCCAAGCCTGTGAAAAATGTAACAAAATCAGACTTGTTTATGTATCATTTCAAAGTGCTAGTGAGTGACTGTCAGGTTTACACTGCAGTAGGCAGTTCCCGTTGCAAACTGTTTATAGTTTTCATCGTCAAATCTCAAGATGAGATGTGACAGACAATAGATCTATATCATATGTATGTTTTGGATTTTTCACATTTCTCTTGAGTATTAAAACTTGTCACCAGCCTCTCCATTCCAGTTGATAGGTCAGTAAAGTCGAATATACTGTCCACAATGTCTTCCATGAGCAGAGTTATTGGTGAAAACAGTCTACAAAATACATAGTCTTGAGAAGGCCTAAAGGACATACCCTTTTTCAGTATTATCAGTGTATTAATCTTTCATTGCAACATTTAAGTTACTTGTTTAAAAGCCTGACTATGTACCTAGTGATTGCTCTTCGTGAAAAACATTAAACCTATTTTATACTCAGCTAAAAATGTTGTATGCATTTAAGAATAAGAAAAAGAGCCTTCTGGCGCACACAGCCACAATCCTCTTCTTGTTAAGGACCTTATAGTAGAGCAGGTAGGGAGCAGGTAAAAGTTAAAACATTTAATCTGTCAATTAGTCAAGAAGTCTTTCTTTAATTATCACAGCTCAATTTCAACACCGCTCAATTAAACAAAAACAAAAAACATTACATATCTATTTCAGAAAGAAAACAGCACTCCTTAAAACTACATGTTCAAAGAAAACAAACACATAATAAGAAGTGTTATAATAAGAATATGATAGAAACCAAAAATAAATAAATAACAAAAACAATATTAATTTTTTATTTTAAGCTTGTGATTGTTGTTCTGTAGCTGGTGGTGAGACGAACATGAAAGCCAGCATATCTGAGGCATATGTGAGACCTAAAGCCTAGAGGAAGTTAAACATAAATTAAATTCTGCAATATTAATTAATGATCAAAGCCTATGACAAAATTCAAATTTATTCTTCCACTTTACCTGAAGAGCACCTTCTTGAAATACAGGAGCGTGGTGCTGCCATTCAAAAAGCTGGTTCATTCTCAAATCAGAAGCATCCTTCTTTTTGACTGAGTCTGATTTTCGCCCCAAGTATAACTGACAGTCTCTATCATCATCATCGTCATCTAGTTCATTTTCTTTCTCATCAGAGAAGGGGATGTCTTCAGTTGAGGGGACATTGCCTTTTCCATCACAATTGCATCCAAGAGAGCAATGTGTTAAGCTCTCATTTCCTTCATGAAATGTAAACAAATCCTGAAAAACAGGGGCTAGCATGTGTTAGAAAAACAGATTGTCTCAAGTTAAGATGTCAGAGTTGTAATACAGACCTTTAATTCTTGGTTTGAAAGTTTTATGTTACTTTGCTTATGAGGATCAACTACAGCCCCACTAAGTCCAGCTTTACTGAGTTGCCGTTGGAAAATTTTTTCTTCTATTGTTCCACATGTTAACAATCTGAAATGAAGATCATTTAGAGTGGAAGAGATGAGAGATGTTTTTAAGTCAGAAGATATATAATGTCTGTGGTCAAGCAGTAGCTACAGTGCAAACCTGTAAATGTAAACACTCTTTTTCTGTCCATCTCTCCATATTCTTGACATTGCTTGAGCATCAGAGGCTGGATTCCAATCAGAGTCAAAGAGCACAAGTCTAGATGCACCAACCAGGTTTAAACCAACGCCACCTGCTCGTGCACTTAAAAGGAATACAACTGAAACATAAAAGAGCAGGTGTGAGTTAGAATCAATCGCTGTAAATCTAACTACACTATTTTGATGCAATTTTGACTGTACTGTTTCGTGAGTAGGTAGAATTGAACTCGTCAACAATGGCAGAGCGTTGAGACGCAGGTGTAGAGCCATCGAGTCGGCAGTATTTAAGCCCCATTTCGTCACAAAGTGAAGCCAGTAGATCTAGAGTCTGGACCAAAAAAGAAAACACATCCATTTGTGCCTTATGGGAAAAGTAGGAAAATAATAATATAAATAAAATAAAATAACCTGTGTAAAATATGAAACAATGACAATTCTTTCTCTAATAGTGATCAGATGCTCAAGGAGTCGACGAACAAGATTTAATTTTGCTGAATGGTGAACCGCCACAGCACCATTCTCAGAAACATTATACAGTTCAGACAATTCTTTAAGAAGAGACTCCTGAAATACAAATACAACAATTGACACAAAATGTCCCTTCATGTATGAAAACAACAACAGAATGGTCAACAGCAGACTTTACTCCTCTCATAATACTCAAATTAGTACTTACTTGGTCAGTTTTGGAGTCTTCTTCATCTAAATACTCTCCACCTCTTATCAGTGCTGGGTGGTTACAAATTTTCTTCAAGGCAGTCAGTACTCCCAAATGACTTACTCCATCACTGTTGCCAGAAGTCCTATCCCGGTTCTCCCACCAATCCAAAGCAGCTCGACATAAGATTTTCTAAACCAAGAGATTCAGTTAATAAACAAAGTGATACATAAAACTAAACTGTTACATGAGAAGTGTGGAGATTACATACCTGTATGGTCACTGGTTTAACAAAAACAACCACTTCTGTTTTAGTTGGTAAATACTGATTGATAACAGCTTGCGTTCTCCGTAAGATAAAACAGGCTGTTTTAGAGTTGAGTTCAGAGGCTCTTTCTTCTCCCAGACACTGCTCATCATGTGAGCAGTTTGGTTGTTGAGAGGCTATAATGGGTTCTTCAAATAGCTGACGAAATTCTGGCAAAAGAAGCAGTATAGTTTTATGACTATAGATCTTCTATACCAAATGTTAGGTGATATAGATTTCAAAGTACCTGCTGATGAGCCCAGAATGCCAGGATTTACAAAATCAACAAGTGCATAGTATTCTTGCAGGTCATTTTGTATTGGTGTACCAGTGAGCAAAATTCTTGACTTAATATCCAATTTGTTTAAAAGCTGCCAAATACGAGTCAATAAAATTGTACGGCAAGACATGCTAAGGTGTATATGAATTGTTGAGTACAGTAATGTGCTTGAAACAACATGAAAACCTTACCACTGAAGTACGAATGTTATTATTTTTTAAGCGATGTCCCTCATCACAGATAAGTATATCAAACTTGATTGTACTGATATCATCAAAGTTACGCATCAGCATTTCATAAGAGATGAACATCACAGGAATCTGAGTAAGCCTAGCAAACTCTGTTACTTTATTTTTCTGCAATAGAATTGTGGATGTAAATTTTGGGAAATGATAAGTTTTTAGTTTGACATGGATGAAAATTTGATTTTACCTGATCTACTGCAAATGTTCTTAGCCTATGTGATCCTAGCCAGCGATCGAATTCTTTTTGCCAATTTGAGACAAGACTGCTTGGACAGACAATAAGTGCACGGCGAACCACAGGGTTGTTCCCATAAGGACCTTGCCGTAGAAGGGTCCTAGAATGTTCGAGTAAATGTTACATTACATTTTAGAAAATATCTGAAGACTGAATACCTGATCTGACTGCTTCTCACCATAATAAAGTTATAGTTTGAAGGGTTTTCCCAAGGCCCATTTCATCAGCCAAAATTGCACCAAAATAATTAATGTTTTTGATGCCCATCACACATTCATACAAGAATGTCACACCCTCTCTCTGATGTGGTCGAAGTATTTTAGTCAAAAAACTGTCAACAGCAACAGGAGTCACGGTCAGTTTTTTAGTGTTGAAGGTCCACTGGAAGAATAACAGAACAGTAATAGAGGAATATGAATTGTATGGAGTTTTTAATGAGACTCAACATGATAGTCTAGGCCACCTGGTGATCATGAGAAGGTGCTGGTAAAATTAAAGGGTCACAGCCCTCAGTGCTGAATTTTATTAAGGAATTGCTCCTCTTCTTTTTTGGTTTTTTCCAGCTAGTTGGAGCAGGACTGTCAGTCAGTTCTGAAGCAGGACGTTTAGAAGATGAAGGGCCAGGCAGCAGAGATGAGGAGGTTTGAGTGGCATCTGGTCCACTGAGAAGATCAACCAACTATCACAAAATAAAAGGATGGAAAATGTTAAAATTTTTGGATAGATGAATAATTTTTAGATTGGAAGTTGTGTACACATGTAGAACACTTACCTCCACTTCTTTGGAACCCACTTTTAAACGGCTGCCTTCTTCTAGCTCTGCAGTTTTGACTTGCGATGCCCTCCCAATAACTTTACCATCTTCATCCTGAAAATCCATAAATTTTGATGGAATGGTGCATGGTTCCAGATATTTGCAAATTCATAGAAAATGTCGTAAAATAGGAGATGAATAGTACCATTAATGTTGCTGTTTTTTCTCCAACTTCAAGTGTTCCATCCCCTTCCCATGTTTTATGTTTCTTGGCAGATGGTTTCCCGAACACAACGCGAAATATACTAAGGCAAAAGAATACCGTGGTACAGTTTGCAATGCTTTAGATGCAATCTAAGTTTTATCTCTCAAATAATTACCGTTTCCGTGTGGAAGAGTCTCCTACTGATGAGGATGGTGCTGATAGTGCAGCAGTACATTTATTCGAACTAGATAACAGATCCTTGTCAATATGAACTACGTCATCTGCTGCTTCGTCCTCTAGCCTTTTCATAGCTGGGACATTTACTTTCTTTGGTTGACACAGTAAGTTGAGCACACTAGCAGTGCTTCTAGCTGCAGGGGCACCTATAGTACAACAATAAAACAGTTTGAGTTAAGGGATCTCTTGAGAGGTTTCAATAAAGAGACAATTGTGTATTAGTTACAAACCATTAGATGAGGTAGGAATATTCGGGTGGTTTTGAGATGTCGAAGATAGAAGTGATAGATGGTTTGAGACTCGAATGAGAGGGTTTGGATGTCCTGCCGTTGAACTGCTCACAGCACTGCTACTATTAGGTAAACCAAGCTGTGCATGGCGTAATGAAGGGGCAGCAGAACGTCGCATGATGATTGCTTTCTTTACTAAACAAAGAACAAACATCGGTTAAGACCATAAAAAAATGACATAACATTAGAAATGGCTACAAATTTTGTCATCAATGCTGGTAAATTTTGTTTCCTGGTTTAGAAGCGATTGCACTTTCCCAACTGATTTCAAGACAACCTCTTTAGTCAAATATGAAATAAATGAATGAGGCATGGGAGCCCAAGGGCCCATTCAATTTTTCAATGAATGAATTGATGAATAGAGATAATTATTTCCATCCAAAATAACAACAATATCTTACATACTTCTCCAATTCTTAGTCGTTTCTTTGGTTTAAAGAATTGGTCATTGTCCTTTAAATAAAACCTTTAGACCCGTTTAGCAGCTGAAATGACACTCACTGCCGTTCGCTAGCCGCCAAAAATTCAAAGACCACGGACTAGTTGCAGGGTGAGAATGTTACGGAAAACGTCAAAGGCTCTGCCCTCGTGGGAACAGTCGACAGACAGCAAATGGTAAAGTATTTTTGCAGTTTAGTTCGTGAGAGTGCAAGTTTTATCCGCCAATGTTTGGCCACATTTCCCTGTATTGCGATTTAGCAGTAAAATTGCGTTTCCCTTAGATACAGGTAGTTACAGTAGATTATTCTGAATGTCCCCTGTAGGATTTGACTTCTCTTGCAACGTGTGTGCCGTGAGAAATAAAATTTACTAAAAGATTTCCTTGCCTATAATGAAGGAAATTTTGCTTGCTGTGTTTTCGCTGTTTTCATCACTCACCCTTGTATTGGCCTTGGTTGCATTAGGTAAGACGGTTAGTTGCAATGGAATTAATGTTGACAGGAGGAGCATGGAGTAGGGTTGTCTTGTTCAGGTTATGGTTTGCTTGCAGAAGCCAAGGCTTTGTTTATGTAGGGGTCAAATCCAACGGATTGCTTTGTCTCGTTTCAATGTTTTGACTCTTGTTTTTATCTGTCGTAAGCATTACTCTCCCCAAATTTTAGGAAAATTCCATTTCTTTTCCTCTCTTGCGGGGCAATAACTGTTGATTTGGTCTGCCTTGCACTGTTCTCTCTGCTCCATTCTGTGTTTGGTCACTTGTCACTTCAGTCTTATTGCGTTTTTGGCAAATTATCAAGATCTGTGTAAAAAACTACTACATTCACCTTTATTTCTAGAGTAGTTCTCTTGTCCAAAATTGCTCTTGTCAAATAGGTTAAATGATTGATTTTGATAAATTTTGCATTTCAGGTTGGTTTCTTGTGTGGAAATTCTTCTTGTCCCGGTTCCGCTTTGTGAGGGATCTTCTTGGTAGCCGGTCTGAATCAAGAACGGTTGCAGAGCTCAAAACGGGAAGATCAAGAGCCAAGAAATCTCGACGTGAATAGTTTTCTCTAGTATTGTCTTTTATTTCAAGAATCAAGATGAATATCCGCTGTGCAAGACCTGAAGACCTTATGAATATGCAACACTGTAATTTATTATGCCTACCAGAAAATTATCAGATGAAATATTATTTCTATCATGGCTTGTCATGGCCTCAGCTAAGTTATGTAGCAGAGGATGAAAAAGGAGAAATTGTTGGCTATGTTCTGGCTAAAATGGAAGAAGACTCAGAGGATAATCCTCATGGACATATTACATCACTCGCTGTGAAGCGATCACACAGGAGACTTGGACTTGCTCAAAAGCTAATGGACCAGGTAATATAACTTTATTAGTGTGTATTAATTTTCTTTCTGTTCTTTGTTTTGCTGTAATCTGTCCGAACTAATGAGACTCAATTCTGTTTTTCTAGGCATCATATGCTATGGTTGAATGCTTCAAAGCTAAATATGTATCATTGCATGTGCGAATTTCAAACCGAGCAGCTTTACACCTTTATACCAACACACTGAAGTTTGAAATTTCGGAAATTGAACCCAAATACTATGCTGATGGGGAAGATGCTTATGCCATGAAAAGAGATCTGTCTTCTTTTGCAACCCAGATCTCTGAAGTTAAGGTCCCTGGACCAGACAAATTACCCTGTATTAGTAAGCTTGAGATTGTTGATTGATTTTACTTTTTTAGAGAAGCGGTTTTGTATTGCTTAGGTTTTTGTGATTTTTTCTGGATGTTGTGATATCTTATGGTTCACCATGCCCCAAATCATTATAGCCAAGATCAGAACTCACAGGGTATAGTCATGTATCTCAATAGATCATGGCTTTTATTGCTCAGTGAATTCAGCCATGTTTTCATGACTATAAACTCTGGAAATGTGATGACGTATTGTAATTGATTCATCTGTGAGTCATGTCTTTTATGTTACTAATAATAATACATGTCTGCCTTTTTGTACAAAAACAAAACAAAAAAAGATTTATGACTGAGAATATTGAATATGTCTATTACTGATTAGATGCCACACACTTCCGGTGTGCTTTTCAATGACCCCATTTAAAACTCAATACAATTTTTCACATTTCTTACATTTCTCCCAGTAAGATTCATTTTTTGAACTTTGCATTTGATAAATTACTGTATCCTTTGCCATTCAGTCTGATCTATTACCAATTTATTTTTGTTTATGTACTTGATAATTGCCATTTATTTGTACTTGGTGAAATGAAGTCTAGTGAGTGAATTTGCAGCTAAAAAAAATCTTGGTTGAGTTCTAGCTATGTAGCTGACTGTGATCTGACAGTTAAATGTGCTGTATGAATGAACAGGTAACCCCTCTTCATGGTTTTACAATTACAATCAACTTTAAAAAATCATAGAATCCAATATATTATGAGTTTTTAAACAAATCCTTAACACACTGAGTATTAAGCCATTTATTACTTTAACTTTACAAGGTACTAAGTTATTAAAATTAAAGCACATCACAACAACAGAAAATATGTACATGTACATTACGTCTCTAAACGTTATAAATATGTATGATATACACAATGATATGAATTTTGCTACTGTTTTTATAAACTTCAGTTCATTTTACTTATGCCAACTTGCCATCAATTCTGGAAGCGTAGGGGCATAGTATCTGCTGTGGACGGCGTCATTTGTTCTAAAAGCTAGATGTGGTTTTGACGCGAAATTGAAATCAATTGATTGAACATCATTTCAGTTTTGGATATATGGCACAAATTTAAACGAGACAGCCTGAAAGCATGCATGAAGTTGTTCAGGATTGTTAATTTTGGAGGTAATGACCAAATTTTTCAGGAAAAATAAAATACTTGTCTTTGGAATACATTTTGCCACACTAAAGATGACTATCACAAATGCTGTAAAGGGGTATACTATATCTGAAAAATACAGTGAAACAACAGCAAGAAAGAAACAAAACATTTTAAAGAATAATCCATACTTCCTTTGATAAGCTAAACACAGAAGCAAATCTAAATCCAAAGTTACTATCTTGGATATTGGATGTACCTACTATCATTAAAATTTCTAGCTGGAATTTCTTGTTCTGTTACGAAAGATAAGGAATAAAGAAAGAAACAGATAAATGAAAGATAGAATTGCTGGAATTGCTTCTGAGATCTGACAACAAGAACAAAAATCCCTAATGTTGGAAAGAAAAGGACAAGCAAAGATTGAGCAAATGCTTACCAGATAAAATTAAAATAGAAACATGAATGAAAGAAATATTTGATAACTCAGGCATCTAAAAATATGTCATCATTTACATAATTATAGTTCTATTAAAAAACAAATCAAAACTTAATATTTTATGACTAGTTGCATTGTTTTAACAAAAACAGAAAGTAAGACAATTACTGATATATTGCAAAATTAATTCTTACAATGGCCCAATAACTGTCATAAACACAGGTTTCTCAATTTCTTAACACTGCTAAAGCTGTTGTGATGCTTGCACCATACTAAGCTTTAAATCTCTGGCCAGATGTGAAATATCTACAACTGAGTCCACCATTTCTTGAACGGCTGTAACACTGGGAAACTGGAGGGCAGCTTTCTTTGTTCTGTGAACTGTTGAACCAAGAGCTTCTGATAATGCGTTGGTACAACTTAGAACTCTAGATCGCACATCAGCTCGGGCCTGAAAATTAAAAAAACATAACAGATAAGTTTAACACGTTTTTAAGCAAAAATAATTGCATTACAATGTAAGATGACCCACCACATTGCGATGAACTGTATCTCCAACTTGGACAAGCCAATGAGCAGATAAAACCACAAATTTACTATGAGCTAAAAAGACTTTGGGTGGTTGATTATGTTCAACAGTTTGAAGAAAAGCATCAATTGCATGGGTCAAATGAGCGGAATGGGTTACTATCTGTCCAGCATAGAATGACAAGATACGTATATCATCAGCATCTACAGCATTTTCAGGCTCAGGAGGAACACTAACTGCCAAAGTCTCAGTTTCCTTGACAAGGCCATCAAATGATTTTCTGTAAACCAAGAAAAAATATTGTACAACACATTTAAGAGAGGTAACAAATCTCACATGGGAGGAATTAATTGTCAAACCTGAGTTTTTCAGGAAGATCTTCAATAATTTCTGCATTTTGTTTGGCAACAGTCTCTTTGGATTCGAGATTGACATAATCATAATCTTCCAGCCACTCTCCGTTACCACTGTGGGTGCTTCCATTTGGTGACGACGCGCGTTTGAAGAGGAGAGTGGAATTCCCTTGGATAGTCGAAGCAGCTTGCCGCACATCCTCTGTAAGGGCTTGAGCACAGGCAACAAGTTGGTCGAGCGCGTCTGGGGATATCCTTCTGCCCGACTCCTCCTCGTCGCGACACAACGCATCTAGAGACCAGTCCAGGGCATCTAATCGGGACGTGGTCTCGTGCACTAAACGGTCGGCATCACACAATGCCTTGATGAGGGGCCGCAGCTTCGGGACGAGTCCTGCAACATAGAGGGGAGGCGTCTGGAGGCGTCGGTGTCGAGAGAGCGGGTAGGACCGCGGTTGTGCAGTAGAAGAGCCTTCCTTACCTTTGTCCGAGGCCCTGGCGGCATTGCCAAAGGCGCCCTCGCCGAACTCTGTGAGGTCGTGGAGTGCGGTGCGGAGTCGAACGACGGCTAGCTTGATGTCCATGAGGCACGGCTCGAGTTTCTCCCGGTGGCGCCACTGGGGGCCCGCAAAGCCCAGCAGCCTGGACACGGCGGAGGTGGCCTCACCCTGGAGCCGTGCTAGGGTCTCCAGCGCCGAGCCGAGTTCCAGGGGCAGCTCGCGGGGGGTGATGGCGGGTGCGGGGGCGGCGGGGTGGTGGTGGTGATGGTGGTGCCCATGGTGGGGCCCATGGTGGCCACGCGGGGCGTGGGTGGACGCGGGGGTGGCCGCGGGCGGTACGTCGTACGTCTGGGAGCTCAAGGCCAGGGCGCTAGGCACCCTCGCGCTGCGCGGGACATCGTACTCGTTGCCGCACGACGCCAAGCTGGACGCCACGCTGGACGCCACGCTGGACCGGTTGGAGCTGGGCGCAGAGTGCACCGAGTCCGCCGTCAGCGAGCTGGCGCTGCTGCTGGGCGTCAGCGTCCTCTGCTGCATCAGCATCACGGCGCTCCTGCAACACGAATCAGGCTGGTGAGCCCCTGCCTGTGCTGGAGGGGAGCCGCGCGCCCTCGCACTGTACTTACAGCGGCGACCTGGTCCCGATGGGCCGGGGCACGTCGTAGCTCTCCTGCGACTCCCGCCGGAGCAGCGCGGGCCGGAGGGGCACGGCGGGCACCGGGGTGTCGTAGCAGGACGGCGTTGGAGTGGCGATCGCCCTGGGGGGCACGTCGTACGAGTCGGACACCATGCTCGTCGGCGTCGAGTTCCTCGGCGAAGAGTACCGGCCCTGCAGGCCCTGCACCTGGTCCAGGATGGGTGAGTGTCTGTTGGGCGGCATGTCGTAGAGGAAGACGTCGCCGAACCTCTGCGGCGTCAGCACCTGCAACACACGGAGCGAAGGCTTGAGAACAAGAACCGGAGTAGAGAGGGCACGGACGCGGCCCCGTGGTCCACGTGACGGGGGCAGGAGGAGGCTCGCCGTGCGGGGG